GATATGCCTTAATGTGACTTTAATTCCATAGTGCGATTATCGAAACTTTTCAAGCCATGTCGATTATATTTGGGAAAATTGTCGTCGAAAGCAACGGGAATCCACATTTCATACTTTGTTGGTATTTTAAATATTTAGTAAATAGTACAAAGCGATGCCCTACAATTCGTTAAACATTATAATAAATATCTTTTAAAATTGTAAATCATGATCGTAATGAAGCAAACTATCATTAATTACAGATAATAATTTTGCTTTACAAAAGTGTGGTTGGTGAACAATTCGTCAATGTTAGTTCTCTACGTTTGTTACTTTTGTTATTTTCCAGTATATTAATTGTGCGAGAAATCGAGCGTCGCTTTGCACTTTTTGATCTTTATTTCCTTTATTCATCGAGAGAAATGTCAAATGTAAGTATAACAATGATTAGTCTGAAGCGTTTGAATCATCACATACGTAAAACGATATTGTTATTGACTTGTGATAGTTCTTAAAATGACTAAATAATGAATTGAATTTGAAAAAAAAAAAAAACAAAAAAAAAAATCCTGTGCCTTTTGTTAACAAGGAGATCAGTGATTACTTTCAATTTTTATTGACGTAATTTTTTTTTTATTATTTTCATATTATATGTGACTCGTGTACCCTTCCTCATAAATGATTCACTCGGGAATTAGTTATTGAAAACATTTATTTCATAAATGTGTCGACGCGTTAAGTATAACTGAGCAGTTAATTTAAATTATGTGAAGAAAAAAAAAAAAAAAAAAAAAATGAAAGTTGCAGTTGGAAAATGTTGATAGTTGCATTCGATGTCTTTTAATTAAAATGTAGAAGAAGAGTCAAGTAAACTAACGATTAAAAAAACTTTTAATATGAAAAAAAGCTACCGATCACATTATCAAAGAATTCATGAAAAGATTTCGTTTTACTTGTTGTTAGTAATTCTAATTAATATCAGCTCATACGATATTTTTTATTTAATTAAAAATGTTATTAGTCTCAATTAAATTGATGATCTGGTCATTTCGTACACGATAAGGCCCGTCACAAATCTTTGAAAATACTTTGCTTAATGGTTACACAAGTAATAGACAAAACAAGATTTGAATATTGAATTAAAATAAATTAATTAACGATGAGAAAATTAACAAACAGACAATATTATTATTATTATTAAACGAATATGGAAGAGAATGAAGTAAGAACAATCGCGCTTATAAATTTCCGGCGCAGCTTGGGTGCACACCAGCCACCAGAAGACCTCATATACATATTATAACATTATATTAAGGTGCTAGTACTTTGTTATATATATATGTGTGTGTGTGTGCGTGTGCGTGTGTGTGCGCGCGTGTGTTTAAAAATAAAATGTTATAAAAAAAAAAAGATAAAAAAGGTCAATGTGTGTTTTGATTATTAATGATGAAAAATTACCGATAGTACAGATTATAAATATATAGTTGATGATTAAAAAGTGTAGATTATTAAAAGTCTGTTTTCTTATTAATAAATGTAAAAATATCCCAGCAAGCGGGTGTGTCAAAGAGGCTTTGTTTTTTAGTTGTAATTCGAAAAAATAATATTAAATCGGTGTTGTCAATCGATTACAAAAAAAGAAGTATATTCCAGGCATGTCAGAAGCATCGTTATTATATACGAATAAATTATATGGTAAATAATATTATTTTACAGTATTAAAAATTGAAGAAAAAAAAAAAGTGAGAGATAGTCGCACACGCATATATACATTAACGTGGTTAATCTATCAAATATTATATCCAAAAAATCGATAGTTAATAATGAAGAAATGATTCACATTTCATTGAGTGTTTATGTATATATACACATGCATCTGTATATACGTGTGTATGAATGCGGGTCGACGTTCTCTGAATTTTCTCGCGAGTGAGTGAGAAAAAAAATTAATCAAAGTTAGACTCAACTTGGCCATGTGGAGCATTTTTGTTAGTTAAATTAAAAAGAAAAGAAAATGGTGCTGCTGTGCGGATCTATGAAGATGGATGTTTTTGCGTCTAATGATTAATAGAAAAAAGGGCGATCGAAAACATTCTTTATTTTATTTTTTTTTCTTTTTTTTTTTTTTACCGATAAAATGTTTACAAAAAATAATGAAAATGTGTGTATCGCATGTAAATTTAGTGATCGAAAAGAGATTATTCGTGATAACTACTTGCATATTTGTTAGTGAAATTGAAGTAAAGTACAATTTCAATATTGTTCTGTCTAACAAAATTTCGTTCTCTTTCGCTTTGAACTGAAAGCAAATTGAATTTACTATAGAGAAATGTCAGGATAATATGTTGAAAATAATGAGTATAAATTGTTTCATCGACTATCGTATTATTTTTATAGGATAATTTTTTGTTATTCAAAACTTTCTTAATATTAGTTTTATTGTCCTTCTTCCATTTAATAATTTAGAACATAATTAAGCTAAAATAATCATTATTTTACATAGGAGATTTTAAGAAAGAATTGTTACTGTAGAGATGGGAACATGGAACGAAATAATATTAAAAAGAAAATACATGGTGAGAACAATTTTCAATGAAATTGATTCATAATTATATTAATGAATTAATAATTAATATATGCAAAGGGTTGGACGGCATTTTGAGCAAATTTTTTTCGCGAGCAGCTTCGGCACGTTCGACCCGACGTTTCCTAATATCTCAATAAAGTTGTAATTTTAGGATATTTCGTTTCTTAATTTTTTTCACATTTATAGTAAAAATAAGAACGCGACGCGTTGCCACCCATACTTTCCTAACTTTTTGTCTTTTTTTTTTTTTTTATGTCTTTATAACCGGAATGATGGAAGTGATGCAAATAAATAAAACATTTTTTCATTGATTTTTGTACTTTTTTCATATAAATAGTTTATTTTTCATTTTTTACTTTATACGTGTATAACTGGTAGGCGCATAATCAATCTATATACAAACAAATTTGAATGGAAGTTTAACATCGACGTAATTTTTCCATATGTATATAATATATGTATAATATTAACGTTTACTATATACGTCTGTGTGTGTATATATATATGTTTGCATGTATATTTATATGATTATATATATAAATTATCATTTAAATACACATGTGTGTGTATATATATATATGTTTGCATGTATATTTATATGATTATATATATATATATATAATCATTTAAATACATATGTGTATATATATATAAATATAATTTTTTTTTAAGTATAAGAATAAAATAAGTGTTCCACAGGCACAAGTCGCCGAGAAAAAATATTTTCGTGGGGGCGGAGGAAGGTATAATTGTATGAGACGAAAAAGAGAGCCTACAAGTGTAATATTTATCGTAATAATCATAATAATAATCATAATCGTAAATAATAATAATAATTATAAATTATATGTATATTTTTTTTCTTTTTTATAAATTTTGTCGAAATGAAAACGTTAAATACGTTTTGGAGGGAAAGAAAAAATGAATAATGAAACAACTATTTTTTATTTTTTTTGTGTACGTCACATATGCACATATGCGTGCTCGACGTTACGTACGCGCAAATATGCATATGAACATTATTTAAGCACCAGAGATACCATGAGGGTCATCTCGAATTTGCGATAAATTCTTCTATTATACTCTCTAAAATTCGTTTTCACTTTATTTATTATTTCATGTTCGTATTCCGTTATCATTTATTATCATTGACAGAATCGACACGCGCACGCAGACAACACGCTGCCCCTGACTCACCTTCGCCTTGTCATTAACAATTGAATGTAATCGAGTGTAAAGTACACATTAATGTATGCACATACACGAGCAGACATATTCATGAAATTCGAATTTTGATGATTTCAATTTTTTATTTGTAAAAGAATTTTTTTTTTAATGTTGTCTAAATGTGAGATGAACAAAAAATATGTATACCGGGGAGGTGCGCACCCAATCATGTCGCACATGATTTTTTCTTCTTTTTTTTTCATTTATTTAAATCTTTTTGAATCCGTGTCAAATTAAAAAAAAAACAACTCACAAAGATGAATCGAGCAAATTCCAAGACTCTGAGGTCTTTCTAACTACCTACGGCCGCTTAATGTTGCTTAATGCGCGTCACCGCATTTTTTTTTTTATTTTTTTTTATTTCGAGTATTTTAAAGTGAGGGGCAACTGTGCCGTTCGCGAATTAACAGTTTATACATTAGGGTCGGATTTCTCGAAATACGAGAAAAGGCTATCCAGAAAAGAAAACGAGAGGGATAAAAAGATTTAGCGTCAGGTACACAAAACTACGATAGACGCACAACATTCCCGTTATTTCTTACTGACTCTCCCTATTATATTCAAAATGTTTCAGCGACGAATGATCGAAAGATCTATGAAAGCTATTATATTGCTGCGTAATTCGAAATAATTGATAATAAGAGTAATTATATAATAGTTATTCTTAACACATTATAACAACCAATGTTAACTTCGGTTTAAATAAATAAGTTTTCTTTTTATCGTCGTTAAATGATTTTTCGAAATGATCTTAAGCTACACAAGGACACTACTAGTTTGCGCATGAAAAATTCTTTTACAACGTAACGTTTTTCAAGATTCATTACTATAAAAATTAAATCCTTGTTAATAATTTTGGAGAATGCCGTACGTTTCGTATAAAACGTCATAAACAAAAAAATTAATATATAAAGGCAATATCTATGTACGTATGGTAATGTATACATAAACGCAACTTGCGTGTACATAATGAAAAATGGGTGTTTTTAATAAACATTACATTATACAGGAAACTTTAGAGAGGAAAAAAAATGTAAAAAAATATATACGCATGTATATATATATATATATATATATACATATGCATGTGCATGTGTTCGTACATATGCATGGGCATGTGTACGTACATATGTGCATAGTTTCGCACATATCTGCATGTATGTATGTATGTATGTGCGTGGTATGCGCGCGCGCGCGCGCGCGTGTGTGTGTGTGTATACATATGCACATTCGCTTAATTAAGAAAAATAATAATAAAAACATGACTGTAATAAATAAATCTGTGCAAAATATGAAGAGAAAATCATAATAACAACAATAATAATAATAATAATAATAATAATAATAATAATAATAATAATAATGAATATAAAATTCAATAATAATAATTAAAAGTGGATATGTTTATCGATGATTTTCTAAATGTTGAGGCGAAGTGGGAAACGGGTAAATAGAGGCCTCGAGTCCCATCTTCATGCTCAATCCACTGGAAAATCGTCGTCAAACTTTCCTCCTTCCATCAGGTTACGTGTGCGTATGCGTCTTCGTATGTGAATTGGATTAGGTTGGGTTGGACTTTCCGTGACTATCTGTCTGTGTGTGTGTGTGTGTGTGTGCGCGAGAGTAGATGATGGGGTTCCAGGAGCTAGGGGGCTCTGAGGAGGGTGAACAGGTTAAATGAATGATTTTCAAGATAAGAGAACTAACCTGTACCGCGGGCTCGCGCTTCGCGCCGGTAAAAATGGATTTACCGGGGCGCGCTCACGTGTCCCCCGCGGTGGCCCGCTCACGATAGAGCGCCGGCCCTCTGATAAGGGTGCTGCCGAATCTGGCCGAAGTGCCTGCGCTGCTTCGCAGCGGCTGCCGCACCTGTTCGCCGGAAAACACACATACGATCACAATTGGGGAGATGGGGAGGTGGGCGCGTGCGCGTGCGGACTTCCTCTCTCCGCGATGAGGCTCCCTGGACCAGGGCCCTCCCCTCGCCTCCTCGCGTCGCCGGGGACCACAATGCCGCGACCGACACCATCACGTCCACCCGCGGGGAGCTGGGGGAGGGGCGGAGGTGCTCGTCCTTTACGAGACTCTCATACTTACGCTTATTAGACATTATGTATGCATACGCACATGTATTATATTAATATTGATAGTTAAGTAAGAGTATGGCGGTTTCTTGCGACTTATATGCTAAAATACTTATGAAATACAATTGTGTAATGTTAGCTCGATATTTTTATCGAAAAAATTTCTCCTCCGCTAGACTTGGACACTAATGCCGTTCTTATAACTATGTTTACATTTTACGAGTCTTCTCACCCAATTATATATGGCGACGGGCTTATATATTTTAAAGTCGATTCTTAATTGATATAAAGCAAAAAAATAATAAATAAAATATAACCTCAATCTTTTCCTAAAATGAGTGTTCTGAGCATTTATAGCTGAATCTTTTGAGTGTATAGTATCGCGGGCGCGCTTACGTCTGTCTTTATTTAATATGTATGTGCGAATGGTGGTTGAGTTTTCGCGTATATACTCATGTTCGATGGAAAAAAAAACATAAAAATAAGTTAAAATTTGTTTAAAAACATAAACGCATACTACCAACTATTAATTAATAAGTAATGATGAACATTAGATATACATACACCCATACATTTAATACACGCGCGCGCGCGAGCACGCACGCACGCACGCACGCACACACACACACACACACACACACACACACACCAACCCACACACAGATACAGAGACAGACACACGTGTATGTATAATTTTAATCATTTATCGAGAGAAAGTCATGTTTATGCTGCTACATATCTACTCGAAATTTACATACGTCGATTAGAATAAAACTCAATATCTCTATTCGCGCCATTAAGTTTGCGTATAGAGGCGGAAGTGTCTGTTATATATATATATATATATATATATATATATATATCAGTAAAATTAAATGACCGTAAAAAATAATAATATACATAAATTGCACTTACAATACGCCCTTCTCTTTTCTCTTTTCTCTTTTCTCTTCTTTCTCTCTCTCTCTCAATTTCCACCAATTTCTACCAATGTCCACGGGCTCTCGATCACAAAATCGGCATTTCTTGAATCCACAGATATTTCACGGTATGTAAGAAAATTGTAAAAAAAGAATAATTTAAAATGCCACTATCCGCGATAAACAACAGTATTACATTGAAATTACGCTTATATAGTGTAAAACTAACGCACTTTCCAAGTAAAAATGCCGTCACACAAAGCTTTATAATATCGAGTCTTTATGTTCTTTTTTAATTATAAAATTATTGAAGCATCGTTTTACAGTAGATAACCAAATATTGTTAACAATTTCTAGTTTATCCGTGGTGGATCGCTAAAGTCTAACGTTCGAATTTTTGAGCGGGAGCACGATATCGGCAAGTATACGCTAGAACCATTAGTTCCGAAAACAATTTTATAATCAATAAAGTTTGGTCCCTGGGCGTGCGTTTTGCGCGTTTTATTCTTTATGTTATTACTTTCTTATACCGTATAGTTTTCTATTTAAGTTGTTATTTCTTGTCTGAGTACGCAGACACGCAAAAACGGAATAAAACAACTCCTACGCGATTCTCGTCTTTTTTCTTCGTCTTTGATATATGTACATATATCTATCTTCCTATCTGCTTACCAGTTATTCTTATCTACACTAATATAATCATGCGAGAAAATCTTTCGCATATTATTATTTCGCGATAACAAAAATATATTTCATTTTTTTTATATTATTTTTGGTAAAATGTATTATTAAGGTATCAAATGCATTCGATTTATATAAAAAGCGAATAATTTTTTAAGCTAAGCCACTATCCTTGCGATTCAAGAATAAAATCTAAGAAAAAAACATAATTCGATTTTAATTTTAAAGCAATCTATATGCACATATAAATCGAATAAAAACATCTGTCACTCTATCTTTTTCAAAACTACTTGCAATTAATATTTTAATAACCGAAATAATACGTTACCTACAAAAGTATGTATATGCATATGTGTATATATATACACATATATATAAATACACACACACACACACACACACACACACACAAACACACACCTACCTGTTTAAATAAATAGTTGATTAGTTATAAATTGTTTTAATTTTCAAAGTATTAGTATACCTTTAATATAATAAAACGGAATCATTTAGGATGAGCGAAGGTTACAGGATAAATAGAAAAAGAATCAGCGTGTATTGGATTATTTGGCAAAAAAATTATTAATCGCGAAAAATAAATTGTAATATATAATATTAGAAGACTATGAAACGAGTCCTGTGAATTTAAGTAAGTTTGTAACGTAAAAGAGGCAGACCGATGTGCTATGCTTTGTTAGTAGTCGTTGTTTTAGTCGCATTTTATTGTTATTCCTCAACATTTTTTCAACCCTAGGGATAATCTCTTTTATATCTTAGCTACGGATTCTAGTGTCACTTGCAACATTCTTTATTTATTTTTAGATTATTGATTGCCTCTAGTAAAAGAACCTCTACTCAAAATCTTCGTTAAATTATCGTTTTTTATTTTAGAGTTGTGCCTTTAATAAAATAAAATAAAAAATAAAAAAATAAAAAAAAAAAAAAAGAAATTATCAAAAACAGGAATAGAACAAAACGTAGTATATTTCTCAAGTGAATTAATAATTGAGTTAATGGAAGTGAAACAAAATTGACGAATGCAAAATATGAAAAAGTTACATTAAAACCATCACCGATTAAGACGAGCAAAAATTATTAATACTATGATTAGAAAAGAAGAAAATCCAAAATTAAAATTAAGATGTATGTGTAATTATTTCGCGAATAACACAAGACAATGTTTTTTTAATTGGGAGTACAAATATCGATTAATTTCTAACAATATCAATAGTTGAGCTTTTCATATCCCGATTCACTTACGCATCTAAGTTTATCTAAGTTTACGGACAAACAAAAGTCTCAATATAATCTAATCTCTTTTAACTAAAGTATATCTCTTATTTTAATTATATATCTCATTTATTTGTTTATATAAATATACGAATATATAGTATACTTGCGCACACAATTTTGCGTTATTTTTTTAAATTAATATAATATGCATTTCATAACTAAATTATACTATATTGATATTACGTATAATTAAATCTATAACAATTATGAATGGCCTTTGATTATTGCATTGAGTGATGCACGTTGTAGTCGTTTTGCCCTAAAAAAATCGTTGAAATAACCATCGAATCCGTTACATTATTTCTTAACTCAGACTGTTTAATGATTACGTCTTTCACTTTATGCACAGGCTGGAAAAATATTACAGGCATTTTGAAGAAAAAAAAAAACAAAAAAAAGAAGCACATTATTGGCTTGAATATTATAAATTTTTTTTGTTAAATAAATGAAAATTCAAATGGTTTAATACTAATCAAATGTATCTAATAATTATTCGTTACTCCAAGCAAATTCCTATTCCTATGAGCTTCTATTTTCAATTCAGGTGAATAACGAATTTATAAATTACAAGCCATATTAATTGTGCCTTTGACGTGAAACATAAAAACATTAAAAAGAAAAAGTAAGATAAAGATGAAGAAATAGAAGTGAGAATTATCCACTGACTTCTGTATACTTAATAACATCACGTACAAATAATTTAGAGCTAAGATCTTAATGCTGAATTATATTTCTTTAGGATTTTTCTCCAGCCGGCGTATAATCGTATCGATGAGACGTTAGTTACTATTTCGAGAAACGCGGCGCTCATATTTTTAGATCTACGGTAAAATTGTAAAAGATAAAAACAGAGGCAACTTCATCGTTTTCAGGGCGAAAACGGGCACGCGTGCAAATTCATCGTGGGTAACTGGATACTTCGTTTGCAAAGAACAATAGTAATAAAAATAAAAACGATAATAATAATAATAATAATGATGATAATAATAATAATGATAGTAATAATAGTAATAATAGTAATAATAACGTAAATAGTAAGGTGATTAATAATTTTAATAAGCATATGCCAGATAGCAATAATATGGATAATAATGACGTATGAAAACGTGAATCCGCCTATCATCAAATCTCCACAGCAAGTGAATTAGGCACATTCCTTTTCTTTTTTAATTTGACTACCTCTTCAACTTCCTAATCCCGATTCTCAAATGTACAAATAAAGAAATGTACGACTTTTAAATAATAATGATTAACTCTGCCGAACAAAAAACAATATATCATCGACAATTAGTAATTTGAATTGAAAAACCGCGTACGCTAAATAAGTTGATTTGTAATAAGCATAACTTGTCGAAAGGATTTCGAATTTTTTTTAAAAATTGTCTCCTAATAATCGTCATTGTTCATGCTGGATAAATTCATCCACATCTCAATAATATATTTACAATTTGAAAATCGATGCAGTTACAGTAATAAGAATAGTCAAGAAAAGTAAGATACAAAAAAAAGAGCGAGAGTCACGTACGAAGAGACGAAAAAATATATTCTTTCTCTTTTCTAGGCGCCCGTATCTCCTAACGTTTTGATGGCCGACTCTTGCACGACTGTCGACGCGTTTCTAAATTTAAAACTCGACCTGACTCTTGCGTGTGACTAATAAAGTTCTAAAAACTGCGCGCTGCCGCTGCTACCGTTTGACGGATAGACTTACTTTGCGTACTCTCCCCCTATCTCTCCCACACACGCACACGCACACGCACATGCACACGCACACTCACACGCACACGTACAAAACACGCACAAACACGCACACACAACCTACGTTTGAAAATTTCAAGAATTAAAGTGATTAACGTACGAATTTAATAAAAGTGTAATAATATATATATAT